AATCTCTGGATTTAAAAAGGTTATGCTCTACATACCATAACATACCATACCACATCTTATGAGCATACAAAATCGCTTGATTCTAAAAGACTTAGTTAGGTAGTAAACAAAAACCTCATATCCTCCACAGTCAGCTTTCCTATAGCCTCCTGAGAGCCACCAACGGTTCTGTAACGAACCAAAATGTGTAATTAATAGTTTATGTTCGGAATTTAAAACAAGAAAATGTGTGATGAATCTTTTACTTACCCTTCAAACACAAGTTCCTTCTTCTTTTGAAGCTTCAGAATCCTTTCCTCCACTGTGTTCTCTATTATGAATCTCACAATCCTGTAATAATTTTTTCACAAGTCACATATTAATCCAAAGATTGTTCTTACCCACCAACAATACAGAAACTGCATGAGAACTTAAGTGTAACCTGATTGGCTTGTACTGTCCGATCCTATGTATTCTGTCCTGTGCTTGCCTCTCCACTGCTGGATTCCACCATGGGTCCATCATGAACACCTAAAAAGGTTTTCCCACAAACAACCAATGTGAGAACATGTTTGAGTAGGCAGACATAGCTACATAGTTGTTTACTGCACACTTACATGTGAAGCAACTGTTAGATTAAGAGCGACTCCTCCAGCTTTTAAACTCATTAAGAAGACTCTACAATCTGGGTCTTCTCTGAATTTATTGATAGCGGTATCTCTAGCTGCCATGGACATGCTTCCCACCAGTTGAACGCAACTAACCCCACACTGTATTGTATATCAAGAGTCATCTTCGGCATGTATTGTAAAACTAATGTTAAAGGAGAACACAGTAGCGGCCTAATGTATTGTTCTTGATGTTACCTTCCCGAGGGTGTAATTTATCAGGTCCAGGAATGATGTGAATTGGCTGAAAACTATTGCTTTGGCAGATCCATCTCTTTCAACCATGAACCTGATTTCTTCCCTCTGCATACAAAATGACCACGAAATGGTTTGATAAAAGGAAGAAAAAGGCTCAAATTCCCAAAGAAAATTACGAGGATACTGTTTGGGGGCGAGACAGAAGCTGTAAATATTCAAGTGTACATACCAAAGCCTCTATCTTTGTACTTGTCTGAAAGTCATCGAGCTTTATTCGATTTAAAATGCTGGAGGCTTTAAATCCTTTAAGTGTCGTCTTGCTTGTCTTATGCTCTGTGTTGGTGGTCCAATCCACAGTCAGTAGTTTCGAGCATGTCGGGCAGGTCACTTTTCCCAAGGACGTAGAGAAATCAATCAAACAAGCTTTACAGAACACATGTGCACAAGAAGTCACCTTCAAAGTAAAAGAACAAAAGAAAATATTAAACGAACACATTATTCCAGCAAAAAAAAATCAGACGATTCCTAAACAGTGTCAAAAGAAAGCAGCTGTTTCCACTTACAATGTAGTCCTCAGCCGGATCATGGCAGAGACCACATTCTTGCTCGTTTTTGTTCTCATCAAGCAAGTTAGCATTAACGCCACTAGAACGGGAATACACCACAAGGTATGGGTGATCAACAGCCTGCAAAAATTGCAGAGAAAATACATCACAAACATACACATCTACATTATCCGAAAAGGGCATTGGCTGGTTACTTGAACCAGAGAACTGTAGATGCCACTAACCTGCCTCAAACGGGTGAGAAGATCAAATATATGTGCATAGTTATTCATCAATGTCCCAGCCTGAATATATCTGCAAACAGAAATGTACATGGCCTAGTCAATAATAGAATTCTGTTACACAAACCAAGGAGCAGAAGCAAGTGGAAATCCATAGAACACAAGGTACTTAACGTATTAAATTCCGCCTGACTGTCTTTGTATAGTGATTCATAGTAATCAGCCTCTTTTAGATCTAGTGTATCCCGCCTCAAAGTGATCTACAAGAAGTTAAGTTTATATGCAGAGGTCACACTAGGAAGCAACTATACCGAGCTTCATTTACATAAGAAAAGGGAGACAAAGGAACATACGATTCTGGGAGGAAGGGCAAGATCAGCTGCACGACCTAATTTAGTACGTCTTAGTAGAATGTTTTTAAGAACTTTGTGTTTAAGCAATATCATGGCTCTATTCCCCAGTTCCGAGCCTCCATATGATGCTATTGGTTTGGCCACATACTAGGAAAAACAAACAAGAACAATATAAAATGGTGATCCTGCGTTCAGAAATTTGGTAAAATAAAAAGATGCCACCCAAATCTACCTTGTTCCACCAACAGAAATGTCGCACTGCATTATGAGGACAGCTGGGACAGCTTTTATGCACACTGCCAAAGGCAGCAGACAAAGACAATCAAACAGCAGGAAATCTATAAACTATGAAACAAAACTATGGGAAAGGAGAAAATGACCAGAAATCGAGTGTGGTAAAACTTTACATGTAATCGAGAATTCTACAGTCACAATCCTTGCAAAAGTAATATGAGTATGGGAGAATTTGCAGGAAGCGAATCTGGGGAAAACAACATAGGCACATCAGTGATGTTAATGATAATTTTTACATGCTATAGACAAACTTCAGGTTCAGGAAAGATTAACTAACCAGCGAGTAAAGCTCTCCAACACGATTCTGAAGAGGGGTACCACTCAGAGCCCATCTATACGTAGACTCCAAAGCAAAAACACCTTTTGCCGTGTTGCTACGTCTTTCTTTAATGTAATGAGCCTGTATGAAGAAATGGAAATTAGACTTTAGAGTAATCAACATTAGATCCATAAATCCAACCACTAAAGGCCAAAAGAAGCATATGATAAGGCTTAAAACTATTCACTGTAAACTTAATGTTTGTGAGGATGAGTTTACAGCGAGATTCTCCTGCTGTGGTTTACTATATGTATCTCACAACAGGCACGAAAGTCACCTTTCCTTGCATGCTTGAATTTCAACGAAAATTGATCCAAACAAATAGGTCACAAACGGTTACCAGCAGCAAACAGCGGGTCTTGGAACTTACCTCATCTAAAATGACTCGATTCCATTTAATAGAGTGCAAAAGAGATTTCTCTCTATCCAGTGAGCCTAACTGATCTTCTTCTAATGTTTGATTGGTCTTCTTCTTAGATCGCTTCACCTTGCTATGCTCTCCTGTATCGGCTTCCTTGCCTTGCTTTAAGGATGTAGCTGTAAAGTTCTTCCTCTTCTGCTTAGATTGTTTCGCCGTTTTGACAGCTAGAGGCCCACAAAAATGTTTATGATGGATGGCAAGCTGCCTTGGATAAAATGACTTGCTGCAATTTTCACATAGCACCTTGGGTTCCATCACGTATCTCCTAAATTCACTCTCAACTGTAGAATATGTTGTCAAAACAAAGTCGTACTCCATGAATTTTTTAACATCCTTCTCTCTTTTCGCCCCATGATATACAAGGACCTTGGTGCTTCCCGGGGATGTAAACCGAGCAATCTCACTTAACCATTGAGAAACAGCAACAAGTGGACAAAGTACAAGGGTGCACCCCACTGCTTTCCTAGATTGTGCCCTGTCAACTTCACGTCTAGCAAGAACAAGGGAGATGGCTTGTATTGTTTTTCCCATTCCCATCTCATCCGCGAGAATACCTCCAGCAACTGTTTGTTCCTGCTTTGATGCCCAAGCTAAAAATTCCTTTTGGTACCTTAATAGCGGCATAATCAAATCTGGAGGCGCCTCCGCAGTCTCAGCAATCACAGCATTATGCTGATCCAAATCAACATCCTCTGTCATATGTTCATTAATCCATCTATTATCCTCCTTTTCCCATACCTGCCACAATCGCACATCTTTATCTCTGCTCCTCTTAGTCCCTGCTCTCGGTAGGTTTACCATCGCCACAGGCGCAAC